TCTTACCAATCATCGCTACCGAAGATACGGCTGCATATGTGTACCCATGTATGCATGCAGCATCACGGCCGCTTCATACCAATCCCTTCGCTTCATAATTTGCTTAGCAAATGAATCGATTAGAGCGTCAGGAACGGTCGTCCATTTGTGGGCGGAAGTCGAGCGGGGAGTTCGAACCCTGGAAGTGCACGAGTGGTAAGCGCGCCGCTTGTCACTACACCACCTCCGCCTCCGCCCTGCATCTCCTAGATATAGGGTGTAAATAGGGATCACACAAGGTCAAATCACCTGAAGATGATTGCCGTTCCATGCGATGAAAGAGTAACGATGAGCATATCCAAGTTGTACATGATTCGTGGATTAGAGTACACGAAATCACAGACGTGGTAAGGCGAAGTTAGCATACTTGCTGAAAAAAGTAACATAACGGACACAGTCACATTTGAGGATGATACAATGACTAGTAATGTCTACCTGGTATCTCGAGTCCACTTCTGCGCACCATTTCACAGAACTCGTTGGCGTTTGGTGATATGACCTGGATTCTCTCCATTCCGTCGAAATCAAAGATTTTGGCAAGTTTTGCAATGTCCGTTGGTTCGAACCAAGCTGAAACACCAAGCGGAAGTTACTGTCTCATGGATACTGACATTCAAGCAAGAATTCCGCTCATCAACTTCTACACTTGGGACCGTTCTTGAACCCTTAGTTCTTCCTATTAGATGGTGACTGGAGTGGTACATTCGCAAGGGGAGTACTGCAATCTATTACCCAATATCGCAATTGTGCAGATTCCGAGGCGATTTTTTCTAATCGTCGTACTCCACTCAGTTGAAGCAGCTCTCGACGTCCCTCGAAGTAAGAAGGAAGGCTTGCAGGAGCAGTGATCGCTCTCACGCTTTGGGACCACCTCTATGAAATGCATAAGCTTCCTTTTTTGAGCAGAAGCGCACCATAATTTAACACGTATAAGGGCCAGTACAGGGTTAGGTTACAAATCAGATCGGTAGGGACTCAACCTAATGGTACCTGCATAGTACAGAGACTACGCGGGTTATCATTAGTGTGCTAATGCTTGAATGAGCTTGGTGGTTGCGAGACGCTAAAACTGCGCATAAACAGTAGAACGGAATGGTCGTTGTGATGAAGCTCCACGCTCGGTTTCGCTTGATTTGAACCTGCTACTCCTCGGATCCACACGCTTCCATGATCTTTTGCTCAGTGACTGGACGCCAGGACATGCTGCCTGTTTCGGGACCACGACAGCACAGAGAGTTCGAACGTAAACTTGATTTCGTATTCTTGCAGAACTGCATAGTACAGAGACTACGCGGTAAGCGGAACCCGGATAGCGGAACCTCACATTCTTAGTCACTTC